TCACATGTTATTCTCTCCCCCACCCCCTGCGTTATCATGGATGGAGATCGGTGTATTGTGTTTTTCTTGCTGTTTGTGACTCTGCATATTGGTAAATGAGGAACAAATGTATGCAATAGTATATATATAGGAAGTTACAAAATTTAGATCAGTGATGGCTAATCTTTTACATTCCAGCCATACAAATGCCGTACCATACAAATACTCTAAACATAGCTATTTAGAGGTTGTATGCAATATAAACAATAGTTGCCCCCTAACAGAAACAAAATTAAGTGATTTGATAGATTATATCCCTTAAAGGGACACTATAGTCACCAGAACAAATACAGCTTAATGTAGTTATTCTGGTGAAATTATTCATTGCCTTCAGGCATTTTCATGCAAACACTGCATTTTCCGAGAAAAGGCAGTGTTCACATTGTCCCCTCGGGACACCTCCAAGTGGCCACTAAAGGTGCTTCCTGGCTCAGTGCTGCACAGTAGGCAGCTCTGCAGTTAAGCATGGGACGCTGAATTTTCCTCATAGAAATACATTGATTCAATCATCTCTATGAGGAGGTGCTGATTGGCCGCCCCCATGGGAAAGCATTGGATTGGCTAAATATCTGCAGTTCTGATGTCACCGCGCACGGCGCTGGAAATAAGGTGAGCTTTTCATGCTTTTAAAAGGGGGTGAGATGGTGGGCTTAGCACTGTTTGCGTTCCTGACCCTATAGTGTTCCTTTAAAACAGGGCTGCCCAATTGGTTGAACCTCAGATGCTGTAGAACTACAACTCCTATGATGCTTTGCATGCCTTAAGAATGCCTCTAGAACGACAAGGCATCATGAGAGTTGTAGTTCTACAATATCTGAGGATCTACCTATTGGGCAGCCCTGCCTTAAGCATATGTTGCAAGAAATGCAAAATTTTGCATCATGGACATCTCTTTTATCAGGGGTTAACCATCACTGCTTTCACAGTTGACAGAGATGGCAGAGAGATGAGCAAAAGCTAGGGAGATGTATAGATGAAGAGGTTAGCACCGCCTATAATAATTTGATCTTTTATCCCCTTAGCTTTTGCTTTTACAAGTAAACTCTTGGACTGCAATTACTATTATTTATGTAGTGCCAACATATTCCATAGCGTTGTACAGTAGTAAACAAGACAAACATTAAATTGTTAAAAAAGCTTGTGTGACATATGTGAACATTAGGTCGAGGACCCTGCCAAATGACTACAGGATTTTCAATAGAAAAAAATAAGGGGATGGAGGGCATTTAATTGAAATAGTATGACCAGATTTACAGACCGCAAACCTTATGTTTTTTGTCCTTGACAAATTCAAACGCAACCTTACACTGGTTTAAAAATATAAGTACAGTGGAACCTCGGAACTCGAACGTTCCCATTCTCAAACAATTCAGAAGTCTAACTAAAATTTCGCGTAAAAAATATCTCCGTACGCGAACGATCCTCGGTACCCAAACACATCACGCAGCATTCACAGAGGGACACAAGTGTGGGAAAGCATGGGATACAAGTGTGAGATGAGGAAATATGGGCAGATGGACTATGTGAAGGAATAGAGGGGAATATAGGGAGCGGAAAACCAGAGGGCAGAGGGACACAAGTAAAGGGTGAAGGGATATGGACAGAATTATTATGCTAGGAGAAAGAGGAGAAGGATACCAGATGACAAAGGGACATGAGTAAATTTTGGGGGTCTGGAATGGATTAAACAAATTTGCATTAATTACTATTGGAAATGTTGATTTGGTTCTCAAACTAATTGGAACTCGAACAGTGTTCTGGAACGGATTTAGTTCGAGTTCCGAGGTTCCACTGTAAATGATTTTCAGCAACTTTAATCACGTAGCAAGACATGAGTGCTACTGATGCTCTTTTCGGGAATATTCACTTAAAGGACCACTCTAGGCACCCAGCCCACTTCAGCTTAATGAAATGGTCTGGGTGCCAGGTCCCTCTATGATTAACCCTTTTTTTTAATAAACATAACATTTATTATAGGGTTAATCCAGCCTCCAAATCCTCTAGTGGCTGTCTCATTGACAGCCGCTAGAGGCGCTTGCGACACAAAAACGTCCATAGGAAAGCATTGTAAATGCTTTCCTATGAGACCGGCTGAATGCGCGTGCAGAGAGCTCCACGCCCGGTGCTGGAAAAAAGGTAAGTTTTAACTCTTTCCTCTCCCCAGAGCCGGGCGGGAGGGGGACCCTGAGGGTGGGGGCACCCTCAGGGCACTATAGTGCCACGAAAAAGAGTCTGTTTTCCTGGCACTATAGTAGTCCTTTAAGCAGGAGAATTATGAAACAACATCATACATGTGCATTTTATTTTCAAACACAATTTTCCAATTCCTACTATGAAAGAGATGTCACAGTGATTTGGTTCCCAAAGCTTTTTGATGAGTGTCTAAAAATCTTCTAGCCCATTTAACCTGCACATCAGAACTAGGATTTTAGGTACACAATGGAACCCTATAGTGAATTCTATAAAACATTTATCCTTTACCTGCACCTCAGCAAACATAGTGTACATCATAATGTGCATCAAATGCAAAGGTGGAATGTCAGAAACTGCACTAAAAAATGCACCTACATCTTTTTGCATTTAATAACAAAAAATGGACAATCATATGAGCAAACATTTCACACAGCCCAGGACAGAGTCTTCAAGATATGAAAGTATTTATACTAAAGAGCAACTTCAAATTATAGGTTGAAATAAGGATGTGGGAATTTAAATTTATAAATAGGTTTGATGTCTAAATTCTGAGTTAAATATAAGACAGAGATTCATGGGTGCCTATTTAGCATAAGTGTATTTTAACATGTTTAGCTCTCTATACCAGATACAGAGACCAAACGTGGGTCATGTATGTCCATTCAGAGCTCTTAACCTCTCTTAATTGCCCTCCTTATACAAAACATCTGCAGATACCGACCACCCCGTGTGACATGATTGCAGAGACCATAACAAACTGACTGTTCCACCCTAATGTTCAGTGTGTATTAGTATTTTTATTTTTCCTTTATACTATGTATAAATATGTCTTCACCCAACAAAAAAAGCTTGCAAAATATCCCTCTTTTATTAGCTGATAAAGGAATCACTTATACATTGTTTGTTTGTTTTTTATATTGTATTCACGTTTAGTTATGTGGCTAAAATGGTCCCAATAAAACAATTATTAGAAGGAGCAGATAAACCTGAATTGAGCAAGGACTAAATGAGTACACTGAGCTAGGACGTTACCTGCATAGCTCAGTCTGTATTGGGGTAATATAGCAGAGAGAATGGGAGTCTCTCATGAATCCACAGTTGTTTTAAAGCCTAATAATCCACTTCAATGGAGAATTGGCCATATTTGCTTTACTTTGTAATTGCCTGTATTGAGCTCTATATTGTTCCTCTGTTCTCCAGATAGAGGACTGGTCATTGGATATCACTATCCAGCACATCATCAGCAAGATTTAATGCCCTTATTTGTGGACAAAAACGTCTGATGACAAACTTACCAGTATCTGTGTTACTCAATGCATATCACCACTGGTTAAAACACATTGATCTCTAAGATTTATGCTCCTAGAAAGCTTGATCCGATTTTTTTTTTTTTTGTCAATCAAATTTTATTAGGATTTATCGAAGTGTTACAAGCATAAGTATTGTACAGCAATGTGGAAGAAAATAGTGCTTCACAATTCCGTTCTTGTACATTATACAGCATGTCGTGTTAAGGCTTGTTCTCATGGGTTATTTCAATAGCGGCCCGCCTCATTCATGAGGCGGTGTGGTATGTGAGATATGTTGTCTTTAGTTAGTGAGTTAGTGTTATGAAATCGTCTTTCTACGGTGTTTTCTCGCTTGGAGTGAGAGCCCCTGAAGTGAGTTGTTTCTGGGGTACCGTCTCTGGCTGTGCAGAGCTCCCCTCCCCTTCCCCCCATCCTCTCTGTCTACGGTCATGGTCGTCCGGGCCGTATAGTGGGTGATGTGTTGGTCAGTGGCTGAGCTTGGTATGCTGTCGGTCTCTATCGCACTCTGTCCCTCGGGTTCAACCCAGCAGGTGTAGGGTGCGTTGGTGCCTTGTGAGTAACCGTGAAGTGGTTGCCCCGGTTTGGGGGCCCTCTAATACTGCAGCTAGGTCCCCTCTAGGCGTATGTCCCCTTTATCCATTGTTGTCCTGTGGAATATCGTGGCTATTGTGTATGTGTTAATCATTGTGAGGCTTCCTTTGATGGATCTACTCTTCGTCTTGTCTCCCCAAGGTTTAGTATCCTCCGTGTCGTAGTGCCTTGTGGTGCGAGTGTCTGGGTTTGTGCTGTCCCCAGCTCCCTTCCTCCGTGTTGGATGGCGGCTTTCGCCGCGCCTTTGGTGTCAGGTGGCGTGTGGGGCTGGGGCAGTCTCCCATTTGTGTGCTACTCCGTGTTACTGAGTTAGGGGAGTCGACGTATCTCTGAATTTACTCCCGTAGTTCTGTGTCTGGGCCGTCCGTGGTCCTAAGCGGGAGTTCGGCTTTCTTGGGTTAGGGTGTGTCAGTGGACCTGTCAGTCCGAGTTCTAGGGAGTGGTTCAGGTGTTGCCTTCCCTGTCGGGGGTAGTTCTTTAGGATGGTCGTGTGGTCAGTCTATACTAGGTCCCCCCCCAGCCCCCCCGAGGCGAGCGCCGCCCCCCCCACGCGGTCTCGCCACCCCCGCTCTCTTGGTCACATAGTCCATCCATGGGTACCATGTCAGCGCACATTTTTCCGCCCGTCCCTGCAGTGAAGCCGTCATCCGTTCCATGTTGTAGATGTCTTCCACCCTAGCGATCCACTGTTCTAGCGAGGGGGTCAGCGTGGTTTTCCAGTGTGTGGGGATAAGCGTCTTAGCCGCCGTAAGCAGGTGTATAGTGAGCCCTCTTTTGTAGGCTGTCAGTGGTGTGTGCGTATGGTTGAGCAACATCGGCAGGGGCTGTAGCGGAAGTTCAGTGCCTGTGATATCTACTATTGTGCGGTTTATCGTTCGCCAGTAGGGGGCTATAAGGGGACATGTCCACCAGATGTGGTATGCTGTGCCCCTTTCTGTTCCGCATCTCCAGCAGTCGTCAGGGATCGTGTCATGAATATGTCCTAGGATATCCGGGGTCCTGTACCAATGCGTTAGAATTTTATAGTTGCACTCCTGGTACTTTGAGCTTATGTTTCCCTTATGCGACAGTAGGAAGATTTTGTTCCATTCCACGTCCATGAGCTCTGTCCCCGTCTCTATTTCCCACCGCCTCGTGAAGCCCAAGGCGTCCTTATCTCCGCTGTTCATTAGGGCGGTATACAGAGTTGACACGCCATGTGTGATGTGTTGCCGGGCCGTGCATAGTTGTTCCAGATACAAGAGGGGGCGGTGTACGTGATCCTTCCCCTTGATAGTGTTGTAGTATGCTTTGAGCTGGTGGTAATGAAACTCGTCTAGTCTGGTAGGTCTACAGTCTCGTACCAGTTCTGTCAAGGGTCTCAGGCTCCGGCCGCTGCACCATTGGTGTAGGTAGACCCAATCCGTCGCTTGAAAATTTTTAAGGGCAGTAGGAGTTAGTCCATCGGCTAACTGGGGGTTGTTGGTTATGGGTGTGAGCGGGTTGGGAGATGTGGTAAGCTGCTTGGTGTATCTTATTCCGCACCAGACCCCAAGGGTGGCGTCTATCATTGGGTTGCCTGTGCGTATTTCTCTAAGCGTAGCCTCTCCCAACCATAGCACGGCGGGGATCTTCCCCTGTGCTTGTTGGAGCTCCATGTCCACCCATTGCTTAGCGTTGGGGTTGGCATGCCAGTCCACCAGTCTATGTAGGTGGGTTGCCTGGTAGTACATGAGTACGGACGGGAGTCCCATGCCTCCGTCACACTTTGGTCGCTCCAAAATCGTTCTCCGTACCCTTGTGGGCTTTTTGTTCCAGACAAACTGTCTAATGTCGGTCGTTAGCCTCTGGAAGAAGACTCTAGGAACAGTGGTAGGCAGTGTCTGAAATAAGTATAGAACGCGCGGCATGATGTTCATTTTTATAGCGCTTATGCGGCCGAACCACGATATGTACTTGGACGTCCATCGTTTTAAGTCTTGTTGTAACGATGCAAGGAGAGGAGTGAAATTCAGTTGGTAGATCTGCGCGAGCTCTTTCGGCAGCCAGACACCGAGGTATCGGAGCTTTGTTGTGCAGATTTTGAATGCGAAGTGTGTTTCAAAGTGCCTTGTCAGGGTCAGGTTTTGTGCCACCGGCATTGCCTCTGATTTTTCTAGGTTAAGTTTTAGATTTGAGACTTTGCTGTATTGTTTGAACGCCTCGAGCAAATTCGGAGTCGAGATTCTAGGTTGTTCCAGGAAGAAGAGCATGTCGTCCGCGTATGCCGCGACCCGGTGTTCCGTTCCGCCCAGGCGAGTCCCCGTTATGCCCCCGTCCTGTCTGACCGCCTCCAGAAACGGTTCGAGAGTGAGGGCAAACAGAAGGGGTGACAGAGGGCATCCCTGGCGGGTACCATTGTGGATGCTAAATGGTTTTGTCAGTGCTCCATTGACCCGAATGCGCGCCGTTGGGACCGTGTATAATGCGGCCACCCATGATCGTATGTGGGTGCCAAAGCCCATGTGGCGTAGCGTCTCAGCGAGGAACGTCCAGTCCACTCTGTCAAACGCCTTTTCGGCATCCGTCGACAGGAGCACTACCTCCCGTTTTCCAATCTTGGCCGCGTGTATGACATTGAGGGCTCTGATGGTGTTGTCCCTGGCCTCCCTCCCGGGTATGAAGCCGACTTGGTCGAGGTGTATCAAGTCGGGCAGGAGATGTGAGATCCGTAGTGCCATTGCCTTTGCGAATATCTTCAGATCCGCATTTAGTAAGGAAATTGGGCGGAAGCTGGCGCAGTTCGTGGGGTCTTTACCCTCTTTTGGGAGGACCGTGATTGTGGCTCTCAAGGTGTCCGTAGGGAAGTGGCCATCCGTTTGAATTGAGTTGAGGCCCGTGAGAAGTCTCGGCAATAGGATGTCTCTGAAGGTGCGATGGTATGATAGCGATAGCCCGTCTGGGCCTGGTGCCCGGTGCGGCTTTGAGGCTTTCATGGCGCCGGCCAGTTCTTCAATCGTCAGAGGTTGGTCCAGCTCCGCAGCCTGTTCCGGGGTAAGTTTTCTGGCCACATGATTTTCTAGGTATGTCCGGACTCGGTCCTTATGACGCTGTTCTGCGGGGCCCTCCCGGGCTCGAGCTTGCGCGTAGAGTGTCGCATAGTACTCTTGGAAGGCTTCGAGGATGCCTTCTGGTAAGCGCGTGACTTCTCCCTCTCGCGTGTGTATTTTATGGATGTGTTGTGCCCTCCTCTTGTCTTGTAGCATTTTCGCCAGCAACCTGCCGCTCTTATTGGAATGTTCGTAGAAGAATCTGGCTGATTTTCTAGCTGTGTGTAGTTGTCCCTGTGATAGTATGTCTCTAAGTTCTCTGCGAGCGATCGTGAGGTGTAGGTATGTGCCTTCTTCCAGCGTGTGTTTATGTTCGTATTCTAGTTCGGCTATGCGCTTCGTTAGCGTGATGAGGCGTGCGGATCGGTCTTTTTTGCGTCTAGTGCTCTCTGCGATGAGACGGCCCCTGATGACGCATTTATGCGCTTCCCAGAGTACCAGTGGGGAGGTCTCCGAATTCTCGTTGTCAGCGAAATATTGGGTCAGGGCGTCGATAACCATAGCCTTAAGTGCGGGGTCATCCAGCAGGGATTCGTTGAGTTTCCATTGTCTTTCTCGAGGTTTAAACAGTGGAGAACTGATGTGCGCCACCACGGGCGCATGGTCGGAATAGTCCAGTAGTTCGATGTCGGCTTTGTGCAGTAGGTTCAGATATTCTTGCGCTAGAAATACATAATCAATGCGGCTGTAGTGTGAGTGGACCGCTGAATAGTGGGTGTAGTCACGGTCGTCTGGGTGGCTCACTCTCCAGCTGTCCACCAGCCCCTGCCTGTTCAGTGCCCGCATTATTTTGCGTACGCAGTGCGCTGGTACCGCGCTCACACCTCTGGAGGTGTCCAGATGGGGGTCTAGCGGTACGTTCAAATCTCCCGCCATCACCAGCATACCTTCCCTGAAGCTTTCCAGTTTAGCTAGTGTCCTGCTGATGAAGGTGTGCTGCCGTCTGTTGGGGCTATATATGGTAACGAAGGTATACGTGTAGTCGGCTATAGAGCCTTTGATGAAAAGGTAGCGCCCATTGGGGTCTGTCATTGCCGCCTTGAGTTGGAACGGTACTGTATGTGCAAACAATATCGCCACCCCTGCCTTTTTCGCGTCCGGGTGGTTCGCGTAGAACCCTAACGGGAAGCGACGGTTCTCTAATTTGGGAGCCTCGTTGCCTCTGAAGTGCGTCTCCTGTACGAACGCCACCGACGCCCTCGGTGTCCAGAGCTTGCTGAGTAGGCGTGTGCGTTTCTCCGGCACATTGAGACCCTGGACATTGTTCGACCAGAGCGTTAGTGGGGCCGGCGCGAAACCCTTTGTAGTTGCGGCCGCAGCGAGGGGGCCGCCCCACCCCGGGTAGGGCATGGAGGGGAAGGAGAGAGAGAGAAGTGAGAGAGAAATATGTTGTCAGTGGTATGTCCGGTGTGTGTCCGTCCGGTTGTCTGAGGGTTGGGTTCAGGGGAGAGTGTGGTGTGACTTTGTCCCGGTACCGGTTACGGTCGTCACAGGGTCAGAAATATGCCTATATCCCGCGACCCCGGTATTATATACAGAAAGGGTCTGTCACAGTGAGGTTCAGTGTAGCCACCGAGGGAGGTAAGTTATCGGTTGTACTTGTGTCCAGTCTACGAACTCCCCTTATGGCTCCCAACCTGCGGGTGCTATATGCATTGTGTTAAGTAGCAGGTCTTAGTTGTGGGGGTATCTTGACGTCCGCCCTATTGTACCTACGTGCTGACCCAGTCCATATAGGGGTGTGAACAGGAGTTGGTACTTGTTGTGTGTCCGGCTGGGCCCGCCCCTCCCCCTCCTCGGCCCCTCCCAGTGTGTTCCCGCTCCTCGAGTTGGCTGAAGTGTTCGCCTCCGCCCCCTAGTTCCCCAGGCCTTCCTGTACTCTGCCCTGTGTGCTCCACCGGAGTACCCTCCCAGTCAAGGCCTGCTTCTGGGGTGTCGAACTGGGTGTCCTTACCCTAGGGTGGTATGGGTGACCTCAGGGTGCCCTAGCTCCATACCCCGGGTCTCTGTCTCCCCGCCCCCTTCTCCCGTCGCCCCCTGGATCCGCCTTTGCTGCCTTACCTAGTGTGTGTAGCAATTGTGTGTTTGCTAGTAGCTTGCTATGCTATATGTCTATGAAACCACGTGTAAACTAAACATGCTGTCATTAACTTTGAACTGTTAGGCCTCTGCGGCGGCCCACGCCTTTCCTCTTCGCCTGCCTCCCTCTGTTGATCGTTCAGCTTGGGTCGCCACTTACACCCCGACCTGCCCCCGCCCCTTCCCTCCCGCAAAGCCCCTCATGCCTGTAAGATACCCGTGAAATTGGGGCAGTGTTCAAGTTCGTATCCGACCCCACAGACGGGTTAGGGTTTTCAGCTGCGGCCCTCTTTGCATCCCGGCCCTCCCGGCGGGCCTGATCCCAGACCCCTGCATGCGTGCCCTGTGTCTCGTGCCCCACCCCACCTCAGGGGGACCCCGGGTAAAAAGCCAGTGGACCCCTCTATCGGTTGGTCTCCCCCTCCCCTCTGCGCTTCTACGTGCAGGCTCCGTCCCTCCCAACCTGTGGGGATCCCCTGGTGGCTTTTCCCTTAGGCTGAGGGGTGAGAGACTAAATTATCCGGGCTCCCGAGTCAGTACATACCCGCCTGGTTACGGCTGGAGACCTTTAGAGGGCGAGGTGAGTGCTGCCGGCTTTCATGCGCTGGTGCAGCTGGGGTACCAGGGCGGGCGTCTTGTGCGGGGGTGGCTCCTTAGCTGGTACTATTCTTCGGGGCCCTCGGGGCCTCCTCGTCGCCGTGGAGTCCCTGGGTGCGGGCGGAGGTTGTGCGCTGCGTCTGACGGTCCAGTTGATCGGGCCGGAGGGTTATCTAGGATCCAGTTTGGGACCTGTACTTCAGGTAAGCCGGCCGTCCGGAGGAAGCGGGGAACGTCGTTGGGCCAACGAATAACATGCCAAATGTTCCCGATTTTGGCCTGGAGGCTAAAAGGGAACCCCCATTTGTAGATTATTCTCCTTTCTTGCAGGAGGCGCGTTACTGGCCTCAGGGCCCGTCGGGCGTCCAGCGTGATAATGGATAGGTCCTGGAAGAGGGAGATCTCGGCGTCCATGTAGGTGACATGTGGCCGTGCCCTGGCGGATCTCATAAGGGCCTCCTTCAGTTGGAATGACACCAGGGAGCAGACGATGTCTCTGGGTTGACCATCTCTCCTGGGGGCCCTCAGGGCTCGATGTGCCCTTTCTATGCCGAATTCTTGTGGGGCCAGGTCCCCCAGGAGGTGCGTAAATAGGCCCGTGAGGATCTCCTGCAGGTTTTCCCCCTCCGCCTCTGGCAGGCCCCGGATTCTGATGTTGTTCCGGCGGCCTCTATTGTCCAGCTCCTCAATTTGCCGGCGTAGGTCCAGGAGAATGTTGCCCTGCCTCGTGGTGGCCAGGTCCGCGGCCTGCTGATGCTGTGCGGCCTGCAATTGCGTTTCTTCCAGGGTATCCACCCTCTGTTCCAATGCAGCGAGGTCGTTGCGGACTGCTGCCACTTCTTCCCTTATGATTGCGCGCAGCTCAGCCACCATTTCAGTTTTGTCTCTGCGAGTCAGCATGCTTGCGGAGATCGCAGCCAGGTCGGCCGATATCTGTGATAGGGTGCCTACTGCGGGCGAGTCCTGTGCCGATCCCATCACACTCGAGCCTGGGGAGGAGGGAGTCTGCATGCTCGGGTCCCCGGAGCCCCGGAGGTCGGGCGGCACTGACAGGAATTCGTCCATCGGGCCCGGCGTCTGCCGCGCCGGGGTCGCTCCGGGTGGTCCTGCAGCAGTTAGTCGCTTGTTTTTCCCCATTTGTGCAGTTTTGTAGAAAAATATGGCTTGTGTATTTGGGCTTAGCAGGTTGGGGCCTAGGAGCTCGAGTTAGGTGCCTCTTACTCCATTGGTAGTCAGGCCACGCCCCCCTGAGTGGAGAAGTTTAACCTATGGTGATCTGGTGAAGGTGGCTAGGGGAGTGGACGCTAATCCAAATACCAGAAAGAGGAGCACACCTCTTATGGCTGTAACTGTCCCTAGAGCTGGTGGGGACAGAAGGCAGGTAGACTGCTGGAATTGTGGCAGGAAAGGACACATTAAACGTAACTGCAAGTGTCCTCCTAAAAATAGAAAACCCCAAGATTCTAATGATAACTCCCATGACAGCCAACCACCACCACCATCACCTCCCCCCCCCCCAATAGGAAATTGGCAAACCAGTGTCCCTACATATCATCAATATCCCTGACTCTGCAGGACCCTCACCCATTATCAATGTTACACTGCCTGGGGACCGAATAGTCCCTTTCCTGTTGGACACTGGCGCTGCTAAATCAATGTTACAGGAAAAATATGTATTCCCGTATGAGAAATCCAATGATGTATTATCATGTGTAGGGGTAGATGGTATCGAAAATGACATTCCCCTGACCCACAAGTTGAAATTGAAGCTACATGACTCTACTGCCCTTGTAACAAGGCTACTTGTCAGCCCTCATGCCCCTGCTAATCTACTAGGCAGTGATATACTGTCTGCTCTTAGTGCAACTATCCAGTATAGCCCCACGGGAAAAGTAACATTGTCTGTGCCTTTAGAGGACAAACAAATGATATCTCTTTCAAATGTTCTGGCAACTCTCACTATGCCCAGCCATGTGCCAGAACCTACCATTGACTTGTCCTCAGTCCCTGATTCCTTATGGGCTACAGGGAAGACAGATACAGGCAGACTCTCTGTGCCCCCAGTCAAAGTGAATCTCCTGCCCGGAGCCAAACCTCCCTATCAAAAACAATACCCCCTAAGCCCAGCACAGGAAGATGCTATTTCGCAATCTGTGCAAGAGTTTCTGCAGGCAGGGGTAGTTGTCCAGACCACCTCCCCTTGTAACACACCATTGTACCCAATTAAGAAAAAGCAAGAGAAAGGGAAACCTGTGGTCTACCGTATGGTACATGATTTGAGGGCAATTAATGCTGTAACTGAACTCATTGCCCCTAATGTTCCCAACCCACACACCTTGTTGGCACAAATACCACCTTCCTCTAAGGTATTTACTGTTATTGACTTGGCAAATGCATTTTTCAGTGTGCCCCTGGCTTCCGACAGTCAGTTTTTTATTTGCATTTACACATAAACACTAGCAGTACACTTGGACAGTATTGCCACAGGGCGCACAAAACTCACCCACTATGTACAGCATGGCTATGGCCCAGATTCTTGAAGAATGGAAAAGGCCAAATAACATAATTTTATTGCAGTATATCGATGACCTACTCCTATGTTGCGATAATATGGAATCTTGTATTGCAAACACTCTTTCCTTGCTAAAATTCCTAGAAAAAGCAGGCTGTAAAGCAACAAAAACAAAACTGCAAGCATGTGTAGAGAAAGTTATTTTCCTAGGACATTGCATTTCCCAGGGCATAAAACATCTCTCGGAAAGTAGAAAAACTGCAGTTCAAAATATTAGACCCCCCCGCAGTTTAGCCCAGGTTCGTACTTTCCTCGGTTTGATTTCTTATTGCCGACCTTGGCTTCTACAGCAATCTACATGCAGCCCCTGTATGAGTGTCTCGCCAACGAAAACAAACCATTTAAATTAACCCATGCGGCAGAAAATGCCTACTTTTACTGCCACTGATATTGTTTTAGATAATCCGGTGACCATATACACACCGCATGATATCAACAGCATACTCTCACAAGTTCAACCAAAACACATACATACTGCAAGACATCTCAGAATGCAATGTGCCTTGCTTATGCCACCTAATGTTACTCTTAAAAGGTGTATGGTGTTAAATCCATCTACATTGCTTCCCCTGGATTTAAAAGAGGGGAGTGGGGATAGTGTGAATGGTTGTACTTCTGATCTTTTTGTAAATTCACTTTCACCAGATGAGTTAGCTGATGCCCAGGTACCCCATGATTGTGCAGCACTAATGGCACAAGAGACAGCAGGTTTTTTGCATGTATTTGATTCTCCATTATCTAATGCAGATTTTGAGTTTTTTGTAGATGGTTCCAGATATGCTGATGAGAAGGGTAATTTCCACACTGGATATGCTGTAGTCTCTGCACATGAGGTAATAAAAGCTGAACCACTCGCTCCTCACTGCTCTGCACAGGAGGCAGAGCTGAAGGCACTCGCTGAAGCGTGTAAAATGGCTTCTGGTAAGACTGCTAATATTTATACAGACTCTCGCTATGCTTTTGGTATAGCCCATGATTTTGGCCCTATATGGCGGGCTCGTGATTTTCTCACCTCAGCAGGAACTCC